CCTCCTCCTCCTCCTCCTCCATTGTCGGGACCTCCTCCTCCTTCTCCTCCTCCTCCAAAGTCGGGACCTCCTCCTCCTCCATCGGGACCTCCTCCTACTCCATCGGGACCCCCTCCTCCATAGTTAGGGGCAGTCAGGGGCAGTTAGGGGAGGGTGGGTAACAGGTGCGGGCGGTTACGGGTAGGCGCATACAATTGTGGGTAGGTGGGGGCGGTTACGGGTGGACACGGGTAAGGAAAACTTGGGTTGGGTATAGTACGGGTGGTTAACACACAGATTGGGTTCAGTTAGCCATGGTTGGTTTGAAAGAAAAAAAAAAATCCAAAGGCGGGTATGGGCAGTTACAGTCTGCAGAGGTTCAGGTAGGGGCAGGTACAGGTACACGTTTTTTTTTTTTGGGATCAGTTGGAGGTAGGTAAAGGTGCGGTAGGCCAGGTATATAGTGGTTATGGTTGGTTGGTTTTCGAAAAGTGTGTGGTTAGTTTAGTTACAGGTATTCCTAAAAATCCTGGTTGTGAACTCTACGCCATAGCCATATGAAGCGAACTTGTATCTGAATTGTGTTCTTGGTTTCCATATCTCTGAGTTTTGAGTGGGCGCTTGTCACCAGTTTGCTGCGCTACCTGTTTACATGCATGTGGAGTGCGAAAGAAAGCGAGTCTGATTGCAGTAGCTTGAGTTCATCCGCTAGAATGATGGAACCCTTGAATCTCCTCTTTACAACTTTCCAGCTCTCCGTCCATACAGACCCACTAGTCGAATGGAAGAGTGCATTTGGTTTAATCAGTCTGGTTAGCGCAGTTGTACTCACACCCATTCCGTCAGTAAAGAGTAATGAAATGTCTGTCTGTACCGGCCCTCTGCGTCCACGACTCTATGACCGTGTGTCGTCTTCTTCTTAACACGACGTCTGCGTCTGTGTGACGTGTTGAGATAAGGATCCCACCTATGGATCAGTGATCTTTCAACATGCTCAGTGTCTGCAGGACTACCTGACCAGGCTGGAATGCAGACATACTTCTAAACCCCAAACTTACCAACCCAAGAGTACAACTTACGTTGTTGCCTGTGGTTTGTCTTGAGAACGGATCGTACATGCTCTTTCCATCTCGTGTGTATGCCCTGAATTGTCTTGCTGATGCAGTAATGACTACAGCAAGGGAAAACCCGGAAAACCACACGTAGACACATACCCTGCTCTCCACCTCATCGACGATCATGTTGTCATGCAAAAGTGCACAATGAGTTCGTCATTCCAGGTGTCTTTCATGTTGGTGATGAGAAGAGATATCTCGGTAACTCTGAAAGCCCGGTTGATGATACGACATTCTCACCAGCTTCTTTGCTTGATGAGAACCACTAGGTTACAGCTGCATCTCAGCGCCAGGTTCCATTGTACCTTTGTTGAGAGGACTGCAATCAAAGGACATTGTGCCCGCTAATTTGTTGAAGGTTCAACGCCGTGTGATACTTCATTCTCCTCCTCCTCTTCCGATTCTTTGGATGATTCACTCACTTCCCCTTCTTCTCTGTCATCAGCGATGGATTCCGAAACCTCTTGGTCAGGGAATCTACCAAACTGTTTGGGAAAAATCCCAAACAGTCTTCTGAAGCGTTTCGTTTAGGATTTAATCAACACTCCTTCACGATTCTTCATTTGCGCTTCCTCTCCACTCTATTCAGGCTACACCATGTCTTCCGTGGTCGTGACCACAAACCCTGAAATCTTCTTGAGGGCCACACGCACTTGCCATACTTTCCACAAAGTTGTTTCAGATCACCCATTTGTAAGCTTTGCAACATGTTCTCTTAGATCTGCTTCCCTTCTAGAAGCCTACACCCGACTGTCGATCGAACGTTCCTCTGCCGAGATTCATTCGATTGCAGCTTGGGCTTCTTCACACTGCTCGGGTTTGAAACCGTTTTTCTTGGTGTCGACCTCTTGGATGGAGTCCTGGTATCCAAGGGCTGCTTCAGTCGAGGTGAGATGAACTGCCGCGTAGTTTGTGACTTTGGGCCCATTAATCGTCCCACGCAGAGATGCTAGATCAAACTAAATGTCTCATCTCTTCAAGCTGCCGCCTCAGGTTATCAGCATCGTCAGATGCCTTACCCTTACCTTTCTCCTCTCACTTGCGTTTAAGGATGCACAAACACCCTTCCCCCTCCACGGATTGTATACAGCAAGCCTAAAGTCGGGACATAGTCAAAATTGGGGTCAGTTTGCAGATTCCTAATGATGGGGCCAAAAACTGGGCCGTGAGGCAACGCATTTGCAATGGCCTGCCTGGTGGAATCAGCAAAGGAGTATGGACAATGGAAGCAAATGTGTCAGGTCTACGAGACAAGGCACCAACATCTATGTTGTAATAGCCTTTCTTGAACTTCAGTTCAAAGTCAAATCCATCAATGAAGTAAATATACCTCGTCAGTTTGTCATTCAACTCCCTGTGGATCTTCATCCACTGCAAGGTCGAGTGATCATAATAGATCTTGAATTATCTTCCCAGCAAGAAGTGTTTCCACTGTTTGAGGGCACATATGAGGGCATGTTAATCCTTCTCATAGGTAGGCGCTCGAATTCTCTGCGCCTTAATCTTCTTACTCATGAATTCCCCTAGTCAGACCAGTCCCATCATCTTGATGAAGAACAACCCCAACTGCACACTGACTTGCATAACAAACCTGCCCCTGGGAACAGGGCGTGGTTCACAGTCATATTGCGGGACGAACTATATGCGCTTAGGAGGGAGCTCGAGCGCTAAATGATGAGATAAGAGATGCAAAGGACAAGTAAAGGATCTGAATTGTCTGATGAACAGGACATTTCCAGAAAGTTGCTGCTTGTTTACTATGACACTGGTAGGTTTTGGACACAGTGGGTGCAGATCCTTTTGGGCCATCCTATGTGCTTGCCTTAAGTGCTCACTTGAAGACCTATCTGGTGTTCCGTGCCTCAAAGTTGTTGCCTTTCACACCAGCTGCACCGTACCCCGAACAGGCCTCCCCAGTCCGGAGCACCCATTCTTGGGAAAGGGTAGGAAGTTGAGGAGATTGTGGATCAGTGGGCCACAGGCCCCAACTGCGAACTCTTGGTGGAGTTCCTGTCCCAGCCACATAGAGAGGATCACTGGCTCACCAGGAAGGAACTTCTCAAGTCAGCCAGGTTCATTGTATTGACCTACGAAGGAGAAAGGGCAAACACTCAGATGTTCACCTGGTGGTCACCACCCTTAGATCGGAGGTCCTCGCTCCCCGGGAGGGTCGAAACGCAATGAACTTGCAGATTCCAGCGGCTTGTAACACTAAGTAGGACGTTCTCGTAATTTTCTTGAGTTGGGTCCTAACCGTGACTGTTGCAGGCCTTCTCACCCATAGGGGCTTTTCTATAACTTTGTTATTTTCAGGCCTAGTCCGTTCGATACTGGTAGGCCCGTGTCTGTTTGCCTGTCCTAGGCATTGGAGTTCCTGTCTGATAAAAATAACTTGGGGCTGAACTGATTCGAGTTCTGTTTACAGTTTCTTTTCGCTTGGTGTCTGTTGGACGTTGCATGCTTGCCTGTTGCGCTCTTTTCACCAGCGCAGGGCTTCGTCATTGACAAGGTGCTGGCAGTCGTAGCTGGGGACGGCGGCCCCTGAGTGCTCATATGTGCTTCCTCATGTTCGTGTGTTGTTGGGGTTTTGGGCAGCTGCCATTGATGCAACTTTTCCTTGTCTTCTTCGACGACCGGCTTTCTCCATCTTCGTTGAAGAGTGATGTCATCTTCATCCTTGGGCGCTGGCACTCCCTGTTGACTAGGCGATACTTTGCAGCAATCGGGCTCTGAGTGGATGCTGACAGGGTGCTTGGGTTTTCAGGGTGTTCTGACGATTTGCGGGTGGGACTCGTTGGGCGTTGTATGTTGGAGAGGCGCCATAGCTAGAGCTTGAGGAGGAGGGAGGAAGAAGAAGTCTCCTGTCATTCGATGAAACTCTCTTTATAATTTGTTCGGGAGTGTTAGAGTTATAACGTGGTTGAAATTCTTGGGAACCCGTGCTGCTGATTGAAATGGGGAAAGACGGTTTAGTTATATATATTGTCACATCACTACAAACTAAAAGAGCGCACTTTGCGGAACAAAGAATAAAAGCAAAAAACGGGCACAGTGATAACATGCAAAAATAAAAA